ATTATCATGAAGCAACAATTTTGCTGATACCGAGTGAAAATATCAAACCTGCTCGGTTCGATGAACGTGTTTTTGTTTTCTAGGTATGTCAAAAACGGGAAGTTACACACTGGACTACTGGAAAGGAAAACTGCCGTCCAGACATGAAAATAGCTGCTAAAATACACATCTGAATTTTTGAACGTAAACTCTGCGTGCTGATTGTGAGTTGCTTCCGGATGAATGTCAAAATGTGAACGGTGCATATGGGTTATTGCATAAGATTGTGTTATGTTTTGATATGTAAGCCATATGTTGTTACATAAGGCATACCATAACACACCAACAACAATCGTTCAGATATCTGATGCAAACATGATCAAAATACATATTACTGATCATAGTGGTCACATGTGGGCATTGTTCTTTGCATATGCGTTAGTTAAGCGCAAGAGGTCGGCATCTTTCAAAATACGGTTCTCTTTTCTTGAGTGATTCGGGATGGCAGATGCATTCTGGACACAATGCTGCGGAGTGCTAACTGAGCCGTTCACTCCTTCAAATACCTTCCTTCCCTGGTAACAGCTGCGCCAAAAAGCGTTCCAAATGCGCATCTGTTTGAGGGTTTTTATCCATTTGTGTGAAATCCTTACCGGCAATGCCAAGCTGATCCCAGTCCAAATGGTCGTATTTCAAGAGACCATACAGATGGTTCCAAATGAAAAAACAAATGATTGCTAGACTGATTTCACTTTCTGCGTAGAATCATTGATAAAAATATTGCCGATCAGACTGAACACAGTAATAACTGACTTTGAATGTTTTCACTTTTCAGTCATTGTTTCATTTGGTTCGTTGCTTGATCAGTCTGGCGACTTTCTGAGCAAAAAATTTCTGATAGAGAAGTTTGCAAGAAGTCTTAACGATGGCGCATACCATTTCACCATTAAACAAACAAAACTTGACGTGTGAATGATGATTCTCACAGTGATTGGTTAATCACCTTCAAGCCAAAAACTGAATGACTTGCATATCATAACTTATTATCATTTATTATCCTTAAGCAAACACAATTAAGTGGTGTCTCTCTTAGCAGTAATCTCAGCAAGAGTTCCATCTTTAACCATTGGAATATCACTGAAATACTCTCAGCAATTTATCTCAACAAATCATCAACTGAACTCAAATATCTTGTAGTTATTCCTAAGGGACTCTACAACCCATTATTATCACTTGGTGATTCATGAATTTGCTGCCAAATGAGATCACTACTCTTGAGGTCTCTAATTTGATTTTTTTNTTTTTTTCGATGGAAACGATTTGAACATGTGCATTGCTAGCAGAGGGAACAATCAAACATGCGTAACGTAACAAATACGTTTGTTTATATAATACATAAATAATAACCATTAAACGAAAACAACAGAAGGAGAATAATATATGGTGATCAAGAGGACGGTGCTGAGATGCCAACAGATCGCGCTCAGATTTGAGAGCCTTAATAACACTGCAGCCGAAAGCCATCTGCGATGTCCCATTTTTGAATATCGGCAACTGTTCATTTTGAATTGGTGACAGATGCAATAAATACGAGATTTTTGGATTATTTTTTGAATTGAACCTTCGATTCATTCCCTGCAAACAAAGCGATTGTTACAGCATAACGCAGCCTTCGAATTCTTTGTGAGATTATTAGTCTATAGCAGGTCATTGGACCTATGCGAAGTGCCGTCAATAAGTGAAATTTTGTCCACACTTATTTTCTAACACTGGATTTTTTCCATGAATTTGTGATGCTTTGGTTATCTAAAATCAACGTTCGTCCTTTGTGAAACTATGCAGTTGTCTGAAAGATCCAAGTTTTGCAAAAACTTGGTTTAGAGTATATGAATCCAAATTGCTGATCAGCTCTGACAGCATTGATGATACTCTGCTTTTTATAGAATCACCTTTCTAGGTACCAGTTTGCAAAACTTATACGCAGTGTTCAAATTAAAAATAATCGAGTTTTTCGTCCTTCCATTCTTGAAACGCTCACTGCCGAGGATATTATAAGTTAGTGCGTTCAATTTAAGATATCACTCATACNTCTAACAAATACTTCAAATATGTCAAATCAAATCAAACACACGGAACGAATAACTTAATTGCTGCTCTGTTGTTCCGTATTTGTTTAAAATTCGGTAATTTTCTGCGAACAACTGCTGACAGATGCAGTAACAGACATAAATATGCACGTAACGAATAATCACATTCAGAGATACACAAAAATAATCAAAAAAGATATCCTTTATCCATATGTACATTTGAATTAAATGCTGAATGTGGAACAGTCTTCAAAAGCCATGTGTTTCAGCAATTCTCATTTCAATATGCTACGCACATTTGGTTTCTACCATCAATTTTTTCATATTTCAAAATCCATAATACCACATCACCACATTTCCACCACACAAACACAAGTGCACATACAAAATGCATATTTTACTGAATGCAAACATATGATCATCGATGTCGACTCTCATGTTGATTTGCTTAAATATTTCTCACATAAAATAATCACTTCCACGTTGACCAAGCAGATACCGAGCAAAAACATTTCATCGTCTGTTGCACATATGTCGTGGAACACTCAGAAAACCGTTACTTCTCCCGCGTTTCCTGATTCAACTCTTTACGATTCTGACTTCATCCACTTTTTATCACGTTTAAGACCACTGCTTCCATTTCAAACTTCAACCAAATCTATTGA